GGCCTGCAGGGAGCCGCGGCGTCCCCGCCCGAGGGATCGGCCTGAGGAGGAGGTGGGGGCGGGGAAGGGGAGAGAGAGCCGAAGGGCCTGGGGAGAGGAGCGGAAGGGCTTCTGGTGCGAATGGTTGTGGGGGCGCCTGGGGTGAGAGGTGTTCGGGGGGAAGTAGGGACCGTGTGGGAGGACTGGTGGGCCTGAGGGCGAGGTAGGGAGTCCGCGGCTGGCGGGAGGAGCCCGGTCGCCCTGGGGCTTCGGGAAGGAGGCGACTGGTTGGAGAGGGGACCCGGCAGCCCCAGTTTGGGTCGCGCGGAGCCCAGCGCGGGCGGCGGAACTGTGAGCCCAACTTGCGCGGAGAGCGTCAACTTTCTCGAGTTTATTTTGAAAACAGTTGCGAGCTTTGGGTCAAAAATCTCTAATGTGGAAATGCCTGCCTTTTCAACTCTTGAGGAAAATGGGCGCCTGGGGTGGGCCGCGTTTATCCTGTGAGTCTCGGCACTGCCGAGTGGCGCCCGCGGAGCTGGTGCGGGTGGGGATTCAGAAACAGAAGCGGCTGCTTGTATTGTTTCCCAGGGCGGTCATAAATGCAAAAAAAAATCAAAGAGGGAAGGTGAGGCAGTTTCTTTTGGAGGCCGTTTGGAATGTGGTGGTTATAAAGGAGGGTGATGGAAGAGGGAGGAGGGAGAGGTAAGAGTGCAGTCAGCTTGCCGAGAGCAGGATCAGGGACCAGCCGGTCCTCACTGGGCACCCTTTGGGTTTGGGAAATAATTTGTATGAAAGATAAAAAAGGCTTTCGTTATTATGTATGTATGTTTAATTAGATTTTCTTATAAACTATCTAGTCTCAATTCAGCCTTCCAGGCATTTATTGAGTACTTTGTTTAGTGTACTATAAGGGAGCCAAATAATAATGACTTCTGCTCTCAAAGAGTCTATGGTTTGAATGAGGAAAGAGGATTTTACACTCAGTGAACCAGTCTGAGAACATGGAGGCAGGCTGTGATCAAGTGCCAAGATGTGGATTATTTAGTGCTATTTTAGAGCAGTGGTTCCTCAATTCAGAGGAGGGATTCAGGTCCAGCCTCAGATGTTGCTAGATTAGGAGGTTATAGAGGGTTACTTGTATGCTGTGATTTGGAGAACATCCGGAAGACAGTTCTACGACCCCCCAGATCTCTTCTATCCAGGTGTCAGTGCCTGAAAGTTCATATTAGGCATTCATTCTTTTAGAGAATGAGCATATACCTTTCCCTGCACTGCCCTTTCCAAAATCACACACCTTTGGGAAGTTTCACAAATGAAGATACTAACACCTAAATAATAGTAACTAAATTTTGTATAGGGTCTGGGCTTTCACATAATTACCTAGTCAGAGCCCTACACATGTACTTGTACTCCCACATACAACTCTGTAGGTACTTAGAGGTCAAGTGTTAACTCATTCTAAAGATTAAATTGCTGTGGATTAATTTATTACTTCTGTATAGCTTGGTAACACTGGGAGCCCTAGCCGATTTGGCTCACTGGTTAGAGTGTCGGCCTGTGGACTGAAGGGTCCCGGATTCGATCCCAGCCTAGGGCATGTGCTTTGGTTTCAGGCTAGATCCCTGGCCCGGGTTGGGGCAAGTGTGTGTGTGGGGGGGGTGTTTGCATCCGAACATTGTTGTTTCTTTCTCTCTCATTTCTCTCTGTCTTCCCCTTACACTCTCTCTCTGAAAAGCAATGGAAAAAATATCCTTGGGTGAGGATTGAAACAACAACACTGGGAGTCTTGGTGGGGAGAGGGGAGGGCAGAAAGAATTAAAACACCTGCAGCCAGGGCAAGAGGACTAAAAAGCATTCCTACACATATTTTAAACCGTTGAATAATTTTGTGTGGGGTTGCCTCTCTGGGGAGACTTGGAGAAATCAGAGTGAATGGTGAAGACACATGGGAGAATTGGCTTGTCTTAGACTCCTGTGTGGTGGAAAGGCCTGGCTATATGCAAGGTTGGGGGGTCTTAAGAAGTAATTGGAGCATAGCATGCAGTATGTATGAAGAGAGGCCTGAGTCAAAGCCAAGAGATGAAGTCTTACTTACTGTAATGGTCCCAAACCATAGCACAAGCTGATGGACACATGATTTTAATAGGTATGCTGATATCATTTAATTATAACAGTAGTGTAAGGTCAGGTTCCTGCCTTCCTAGTTCACCTCACAGTCTCAGATTTCACAGATAAAAAGATAAAACAAGGTTCCCCTCATTTCACTGAAGGGAATACTGTAGTAAATTGTCTGCCTGAATGTATGTCTAAATTTCCTAAACCAGAGAGTTTTTTGGAACAAATTATAGAGATTTATTGCAAATTAGCTAGTTTCCTGATTCGCTAAGTATTTAGGCCTTTGGGAAAAAACCTGAGTATCTTCATTTTTCCCTTGTTCTTTCTTCTCCTGTGTTTGATTTTCACAAAACTTTCTGCACTAAGAGGGTTGGAAAAGGGAAAGTCTGGTTCTAGAATCTGTGCTGATCATCTGGGAAACAGTAGGAGCCATTCCCAGGAGGAAAGGGATAGGATTAATGAAGGTGTGTGAGGACGAGATGATCTTGTAGATCAATGATGTCAGTAAGCTCAAAGCCTCACAAAACTGGTACAGCAGATGGAAACAGCCCCAACATATGAATTGTGGTTTGTTGGCACTCAGTTCCCACGGGAAATTTAGTTTTGTGTTAATGAATGATGCTGGGATATCCAGATAAGCTCACTGCAGGCTGTTGAACCATGGTTTACTAATGTAAATTTTAGGACCAGACAGTGAAGAGAAGGACAAAAAGAGTGTTTCCTTCCTCTTCTAAATCCAGTCTTGTAGGTACTCATCTCCCTTTTCTCTATTACTTTTTCCAGGCTACTCATAATAGCAATCTGGCTACCTTCCTTCAAGTATTAAAATGGAATATAGAATACTTCCTTTATTAGAAATAAAGCCACCTAGCCCGGCAGGGCATGGCTCAGTGGTTGAGCATCGACCTAGGATCCAGGTGATCGGAGTTCGATTCCCGGTCAGGGCACATGCCTGGGTGTGGGCTCGATCAATGACTCTCATCATTGATGTTTCTCTCTCTCTCTCTCTCCCTCTCCTTTCCTCTCTCTGAAATCAATAAACATATATTTAAAAAAAGAGAAAGAAATAAAGCCACCTAAGTAGAAATTCTTACTGAATGTGGTTGACAGATAAATCCTCAAATATTCAATTTTAAAAGGATAAATATACATATATTAATTCAGAGGAATGTCCATAGTTAATGGAATTTTTGGCAAACTGTTAAAGAACCGAAAAACTTTGGATTTAGAGTTTTGGTAAAGGTGGTCGCCATAAAATTTTAAAGGGGAACAAGTCAGACTGTACGAGTTCCTGGCTGCTTGCTGCTCCATAGTTTCCAGTGGTAATAACCCAGTTTCCAACTTCTGACCTAAAAAACACTTATCTTTGAATCTGGGAGGATGCACAAGCAAGATCTCTTTATTCTTACATTCATTCACAGACATTTACTGAGCACCATGCCAGGTATAGACATACAGTGGTACACAAGACAGACAAGGTCCCGGCTCATGAAATTTATATTTTAGTAAGAGAGACAGAAATAAATAAAACAAGCAAGTTAGTTTTGGATTGTGATAAGTGCATGTTAATAACATAAAGGAATGCAGTGGGGTAGGACAGAGGTGGGTAGGGAGCAGGCAGCAACTTTAGATAGAGTAATCAGGGTGGGCCTCCAAGGAGCTGAAGCTTGAAAGATGAGGAGCCCATGTAAATGTCTGAGAGGAGAGTGTTCTAAGGAGAGCCGACAGGTGAAAAGACCCTCAGTTAGTTTCTGATCATGGTATGAGATAAAACTAAAGAGGCGGAGGAGGTTAGGACATTCAGGGCCTTATAGGCTGTGGAAGGAAGTTTGGATCATTGGGGAATTTTAAGGAAATGATCTGATCTAAAGTTTTTACATTACCCCTCCAGCTGCTGTGTGAAGAATAAAGTTTGGGAAGACTGGTGCAGGAGCAAAAACAGCCTAACTGGAGGAAGCTAGGTTGTTTTGACTAAGGTAGTGGTCATAGAAATAGAAGTGAAGAGATGTAGGACATACTAAATTACAGCCTGTAGGATTTGCTGATGATTTGAATGTGGGGCTGAAAGAGAAGAATCAAAGATGGCTCCTGAGTGTTGGGCTAAGCAGATGGTTGGATGATAGTGTCAGTTACTGAGATGAAAGTCTGTGGGGAAGAGTAGATGGGGCAAGGAGAGTCGTGTGGTCTTTGAGGAACCGAGGAGGACAGGCATGATCCTGAAAGACTTTGAAAAGGAGCAGAGGGCAGCTTTCAGAAAACCACAGATCATTTGGCGTATTGTTCCCAGGTAAGGCTGTAGTATGGGTCATTTAAAAGGTGGATTGTGCACCAAGAAGAACAAGCAGGGAGTTGGAAGATCTGGATCTCAGAATTTCATTTTCTTCCGTGAGGGGCGTATTATGAACTAGACTGGTTCATCAGGGAAGTATGATAGATGTGAATTGGAGCCCCCTTGCAACCTTTTCCAGGGTCTCTCATGCTGTCTTTGTGGATAAGATGGAAAATACGGTCTCGATGCGAAGACTTTGGTTGAATTACAGCTGGTTGAAGAGTTTATCCCGAATGTGTGGTAGAATGTTTACTAGACATTCGTGAGAGCTTTGTCTTTGGCTGCATTCTCTTTCAATCTTGTATCTATGTCTTGAATGAAGGTACATAAGGCATCATATCAGTTTGGTGGAAGGAATATTGAGTACATCTCATGGCAGATAAAACATTCATAAAGGCCTTGACAAGCTCATGTGATAGGCTGAAATGACAAGATGAAGTTTAATAGGAATCAATGTAAGGTCCTTCACTTGAATCCAAATTTATCAACTAGTCAAGTATAGGACAGAAGAGACATGACTTAGCATAGCAATTCTTGGAGGGGGGTCAGACCAAGAAATTTAATCATTCCTAAGCCTGAGGGTACATTGTGTGTGATAGATCTGCTATGAAAGCTAATGTAGTTTATGTGCTCCAGTGATAATATTTAGAACTGAGAAAGTGATACTGGATTCAACTGTGTAATAGAAATTAAACTTGTTTTTCTTAGTATGGCATCCAGTAATAAATATAAACCATTAGGTTAGCAAAGAGACTCAAACCTATGCCATGAGAGCTAGGTTGAAGTAACTGGGAACATAGGGCCAACAAAAGAGAAGACTTGGTAGATACTATACCTGTCATCTGGGAGGGAAATTGGAGATTTTCTGGTGGTGTCCATGGCAGAGCCAGGGCCAACGGATGGAATTTATAGTGATAAAGATGCCAAGTCAGAGCCATTAAAAAATTGGATGGACTGTCTTGTATAGAGACTTGTAGTTCTTGGCAGTGTTTAAGACTAGCTGATGAGGGTGTGCAGAAAGAATTCCTCCATCTCATGGCTTTTCAGGGTTCTACTAACCCTGACATTCCATGAGTAAATCCATTCAGCTGTTTCTTGTCTCTTCTACCTGGTGGCTCCCATGGCAGCTGAAGGAGGAGATAGCTGATAAGCTGTGTGGGTTTCACAGGAGTCTGGTTTCATTAAGTCGGGATGTGTGTACAGCACTGGTTTACAAGATTGTCAAAAGGACCTCCCTTTCAACACAATGACTGATGGTGTCTCTGACATTGTTGTTGTCTTCCTAGGTGACTTTAGGGCGAGGATTTGGTGTGACATACCAACTGGTATCCAAAATCTGTCCTCTGATGATTTCCCGAAACCACTGTGTTTTGAAGCAGAACATGGAGGGCCAGTGGACAATTATGGACAACAAGGTACAGGAATCCATAGATGCCTAATGACTTTCATTGACTTTTTGTTTATTTTTAAATTCCCTTTTTTTTTTTTGCATAGGTAATACACGGTACACAGTTTAAAGGTTCAAAACATATTGTCTTCCCTAACCACCCAATTGTCTTTCCCAGAGACTCCCACTTCTGTATGCCATGGGAGATTCTAAGGACTTGAAGTTAGTTACTCTGAAGGGAACATCTGAATTGTGGCAGTAGGTCTGTTCCAGAAATTAAACTAAGTTACAGGGGGGATTGGCCCTTTGTAACTTTCAGAGAATCTGGTGAAGATCCTGGAGAACACCTGTGGTTCAAGGCATGGGGAGGAGGGCAGAGCTGAACTTACTACACCTGGTTCCTTCTCCTCCCCACTCCTTTCCGTCAGAGCAAACCATTACCCTCCTTTTTAAACCTGTTTTATGTATTAGTGTTCTGAGGAATGTTTCCTTTGAATAAAGGGTTTTTCTGCTTTAAATTTTTGAAAAGTGTGAATACTAAAGGAGGTGAAATCGTGTATAAAGCCCAGAAATTAGGAAGTATCTAAAGTGCAGATATACAAGCACCCAGGAATACAATGAAAGTAAAGACTGTGAGGTGAGAGAAATTCTGATGTATACAGTTAAGGATTAGGAAGTATAAAATGTCTTTAGACACCATTTTACACTGCTCTGGTTGGAAGGATTATAAAGATAACTGTTAGAAGAAAGTGTATTAAAATGGTTCTGAAATGAATTCCTGCATATGAGGAGGGTTACCCCTATACCACCAAGCAATGCTGGGGGCACCAGCTGGGTATCCTCCAATTCTGACACTATCTACTTATCTACCTGAGGATAGCATCAGATCCCACAGTTAAAGGGCTCAGTCCCGCAAGACCACCCTTCACTTTGGACTCCAATCATGAGCCCGGGTTAACAGCAGTGCTTCTGACCAATCAGCTATAGATTGGAGTTTGCAAGGATCCCTTCCTTGGACTTCAGATGCCAGTTGCAAATCCAAGTTGTTACTTGTACTTCTGACCAACTGGCTATAAATCAGAGGTTCCCATGACCTCCTTCCCCTTTGGATTCAATTAATTAGCTAGAGTGACTCATAGAACTTAGGGGAACATTTACTTATATTTACCAGTTTATTATAAAAGGATAGGAGTGCTTCCTATCAAGATGGTGCATAGGTAAACATAGTACTCGCATCCTCCTAAAACCACATCAAAATTACAGCTAAACTACAGAACAGTCATCCTTCAGAACCACCTAAAATCTAGCTGAATGGAAGTCCTACAACTAAAGATATACAGAAGAAGTCACATAGACATTGGATGGAGATGTGGAAATGGCTGGTCTCACAACTGTGTATGGTGGATAAAAATTGGAAGGGGTATCAGCTGCAGAGGTCTCCCCTGAGGAGTAAGGGGTCCCAACGCTATACCAGGCCCCTCAGCCCAGGGTTCCAGTGCCAGGAAGATAAGTCGCCAGGACTTCTGGCTGTAAAAACCAGCGGGGATTGTAACTGAGTGACTTGGAGGCTGCTGGAGTCCCAGGCTGGAATCCTTTTATAAGGTCTGTGCAAGGACTTACTCAGACTCACTCATTCTGAGCTCCAGCACTGGGGCAGCAGCTCAGAAGGCTCCAGGGACATACAGGGAAGAACTGAACTGTCTGGCATCAGGGCAAGAGCTGGAGGGGCAGCTTTCTCCCAGACAGAAGTGCTCGCAGAGGCCATTGTTCCTTTTCTGAGCCCTACCCCAACAGAGCCATATCTGAGTCTCCATCAACCTGCCTATCACTGTTTCCCTCCTCCCCCCCTCCTGTGATTCTCTGAGACCCTGCCCCACCACCCAAGCTCTTCCCAATGGCTTTTCTATTTTATTACTTTATTTTACTTTTAAAAATATATATCTTTATTGATTTCAGAAAGAGGAAAGGAGAGAGAGAGATAGAAACATCAGTGATGAGAGAGTCATTGATTGGCCGCCTCCTGCATGCCCCTGACTGGGGATCGAGCCCGCAACCCGGACATGTGCCCTGACCAGGACTCGAATCCCGATCGCCTGGATCCTAGGTCGACACTCAACCACTGAGCCACGCCCGGCCGGGCCCCAATGGCTTTTCTATATGAATGTCCTATCATGGCTCATGCTTCAGACTTTACTAAAATCTCTCAAACAAGCAGCATCTGGCCTTGGTGTGCCACGTACCTCTCACTAAGTGGCCCCAGGCCCGGCACTAGTGGCAGCCAGCCTGGTTCACAGCTTGGCCAATCCTGGACACCGCCAAGCCCAACACAAGTAGCAGCCATCACAGATGGCTTTGTAGCTCATGCTGGGTGGCCCCTGGCAGAACACAGGTGGCAGCTGACCTTGGCCTGCACCTCCTAGGAAATGCCAGAGCCAGTGTACCTGGTGGACAGCTTCAGATTACATCAAAGCACGACCCAACCACCTCCACAATGATACACTCAAGTGTCAGACTCAGCAGGCAACAGAGCCCTGATGAAATAAGTTCTGCTCTGTGGGGTAGCCCTTTGCACAGCTGATCATTCATGGTGGTCAGTCAGTGTTCACATTTGATCCGCCTGGAGGTAAATCCCTCCTATTGACATGCCATTAGCAATCAAGGCTCAACTACAATAGGAGGGTGTACACAGCCCACATGGGTGCACATGGAGTGCCCAGCTTGGGTGAATGGGGAGGCTGTGCCACTGGACACCTACTACATTAGGCTACTCTGCCAAGTCCGCAAGACATAGCAGCAGCTCTACCTAATACATAGAAACAAATACAGTCTATTAGATGCAAAGTTCAAAACACTGATTATAAGGATACTCATTGAACTTAGGGGAAGAGTAGATGAACTTAAAGAGAACTTCAACAGCATAAAAAAGGACATGGAAACCATAAAAAGAACCAGTCAGAAACAAAGGATATAGTAACTGAAATGAAGAATAATTTACAGGGAATCAACAGTACAGTACATGAAGCCAAGAATCAAAACAGTGATTTGGAATATAAGGATGCAGAAAACACCTAATCAGAACAGCAAAAAGAAAACTAAAAAAATGGATAGTGTAAGGAGCCCCTGGGACAACTTCAAGCGTACCAATGTTCCCATCATGGGGGTATCAGAAGGAGAAGAGAGCAAGAGATTGAAAACCCATTTCAAAGTGACAGAAAGTTTTCCTAACCTGCTGAAGAAATAGACATAAAAGTCCAGGAAGTGCAGAGAGTCCCAAACAAGATGAACCCAAAGAGGCCCACACCAAGACACATCATAATTAAAATGCCAAAGGTTAAAGACAGAATCTTAAAAGCAGCAAGAGAAAAGCAGTTGGTTACCTACAAGGGAGCTCCCATTAAACTGTTAGCTGATTTCTCAACAGAAACTTTGCAGGCCAGAGGGAGTGGCAAGAAATATTCAAAGTGGTAAAAAGCAAGAACCTATGACCAAGATTACTCTACTCAGCAAAGCTACCATTTAGAATCAAAGGACATATAAAGAGCTTCACAGACCAAAAAAGGCTAAAGGAGTTCATCACCACCAAATTAGTATTACATGAAATGTTAAAGGGTCTTTAACAAAAAGAAGGGGGGAAAAATACAAAATATGAACAGTAATATGGCAATAAATACATATCTATCAACAATTGAATCTAAAAATTAAAACAAGCAGAACAGAAACAGACTCACAGATACAGATGACATTTTGATGGTTTCCGGTGGGAGGAGGGTAGGGGGGGTTGGGCAAAAGGTGAAGGGATTAAGAAGTACAAGTTGGTCGTTACACAATAGTCATAGGGATGTAAAGTACATCAAGGGGAATATAGTTAGTAATATTCTAGTAACTATAGTATCAAATGGTTGCAAAATTTATTGGGATGATCACTTAGTAAGTTATATAATGCCTGATGACTGGTGTGTACACCTGAAACTGATATATTGTGTGTCAACTGTAATGGAAAAATAAAAAATGGTTTTTTAAAAAAAGATAAGAGCCCGGCCGGTCGTGGCTCAGCAGTTGAGCTTCGACCTAGGAACCAGGTGATTGGGGTTCGATTCCCGGTGAGGGCACATGCCCGGGTTGCAGGCTCGATCCCCAGTCAGGGACGTGCAGGAGGCAACTGATCAATGACTCTCTCATCATTGATGTTTCTGTCTCTTTCTCTCCCTCTCCTTTCCTCTCTCTGAAATCAGTAAAGATATATTTTTAAATAAATAAAGTAAAAAATAAATAAAAAAAGATATGATACCTGGCCATTGTGGCTCAGTGGTTGAGTGTCGACCCATGAACCAGGAGGTTTTGGTTTGATTCCTGGTCAGGACACATGCCTGGGTTACAGACTGGATTCCCAGTGGGGGCCGTACAGCAGGCAGCTGATCGATGTTTCTGTCTCTCTCTCTCTCCTTCTTTCTTCCTCTCTCTGAAATCAATAAAAACATATTTTTAAAAAGAAAGGGAAAAAAAGATATGATAAGGGATATAGATGAACATCCAGTTGGAGGAGATGTGTACAGCTAGATGTGTGGGAAGAGACATGGGATTTTCATGCCTTGTCTGGGTACACCATTCTCCCAGCACCTTCATGTGTTCTCCAATCCAGAAGCTCTCGGAACCTGTTCTTTTTTTGGTCCTAATGGATTCTTCATTATAGAGGCATGATTGATTAAATCATTGGCCATTAGTGATGAATTCAAGTTCCAGTGCCCCTGGCAACCAGCCCTCATCCTTAGGTGACCTAGGGACAGCCTCAAAGTCACCTCATTAACGTAACAAATACACCTTGATCTCTGTCACCACTTAGGAAATTCCAAGGGTTTCAGAAACTCTGTGCTAGAAATGGGGGTGAAGTCCAAATATATGCTGCTGCTTATAATTCACAATATCACAGGTATCCTGCAGGCCTGCCCAGCAGCGTCATTTTTCATGCACAAAACTGCTAGATTTAAGCTGTTGGAGGAAGTGCCTTCCTGCACTAGGATTAAGTTGAGT